ACAATCTATCTTACTGAATACCAATCTCTGTACCTTCATTGATCAGTTTATTACATATATAATCTACTGCTTCATTCAAAGTTACATTAGTAGATGTGAATACGAAATATCCGAAGATAACATGAACCTTAACGTTCACCTTCAACTCTCAGATTCTATCCAAAAAATCAAAACTCTCGTGTGTAGAGGCTGCAATAATTTTACAAACCATCTAGTGGTTGTATGGTATGGTAAGCTAGACACACATACCGAGGACTGGTGTCCTTGAGGAATCTCTTTTGTGAATCTTGTACAGGCTACGTAATCTGAATGTCACAGTACCGACAGGTCTTAGTGATTCATACTAATAAGGTGAGATATGGCCTTCACGCTTCAGCTTTTTATTGACTCCGTCAACAGTCTTTTCAGTCTTCTTTGTTGGATCGCTGCTTGTCAACAATCTGTGAAATTTAAGATGGCTACAAGGTTATATCATTATTTCATTCATTAGTGTAGCCAAATGTCTCCAAGATAACAACACCTGAGCCTTCACTTATTTGGAGATGATTGCACCCTCATTTGTTTACAGATTTCGTAAACCTTTTTATTTTACTGTTTTCTGGTTAAAATATCTTTTGCAATCAATCTACCACTCATCTGTTTGTAACAACAATCAAATAAGATTGACTGTAGACCTATTGATTTCCTCATTTGATGTCGAAACTAGGTCTTTATTCTGCGCATCAAAGTTTCCAAATTCAACTAGCTTCGCCATTGTATCATTTCCGATATGACGGAATCTGGTTAGAAGTCCACCTAACCGAACAAGACTAGTCAGTTTGGATGAAACAGCTCAGGAAGAACTCAGTGGTATTTACCATCGAGTAAGTAGAGATGACGGATGGATATCTGATCAAGTTTTTGAGTAGACACATGTATTCGCCAGTTTAACTACCCCTGTGGAGCTAGTTACATTGGGCAAGTGTATAACCGGATCCCCAAACACCACCTATCTCGGTTAGGTAAAGGATCTAATAAAGCGATACATAGCTACAACATACTACCTCACCTCATCGATACAGGATATCAAGTCGACACGAACAGAGCTTTTGAAACTATCTATCATATTCCACTCAACATCCTTCACGCTGTACGAGTTCGACTTTTACACACAGCAGAAGCGATTGCAATTCATCTGAATAATTCTTTCTTCGCCACGGCCGTTCACAAAATATGTTGCATGGAGTCTTCCAATTGATTTCTCTCCTATCCTTGTAACTGGCATTTGACATTGTTATTTTATTGCGGCTACTATTTCAGCTAGTTCAATTGACCTATTTATTGCTTTGGTATTCATACGTAATTCACTCATCTATCCTTCTCAATCATCATTCAGTTTACAAATTACTGACTATCTAATAACCCATAGCTAATTCCTACAAATTAGCTGATCTTGATCTTGAATTTCGTGATTCCTCTCGACGCCCACCCACACATAATACGTCGAAAGTGGTGATTCTCACTGACGAACACATCACCACATTGTTGGTATAATTTTGACGTAAAACTGTGTGTTATTTGTAGGACGCCTGATAAGGAAGTGGTGGGGAAGGAATAGATTTTCCCATTCACTTTGTCATGAAATGGTGGATGAAGTACCACTGAAGTATACCTAGTGTAGTGATATTCTGAATTTGGACATGTTATTCATGAAGTCATTCTGTGAGAAATTTCCTTCCATCAAATCATCTCCTAGCAAACGAACTCACGACGGTTTATTGCATGACTACTTTAAAATTAGCTAGATCATAGTAACTACCTGTCAGTAGAGTATTCTCCACAGATAACATCAATACTCATCCTCATATTCAGTATATTTTCTTACTCCTTCTGCCTGTATTTGATTTCAGGCTGATTATCGTGTGATAACATGATGATTATTAGTGCAAGTGTTTATCGTGACATGTATACATACATATTTTAGCACAATCTTGTGTCACTACCACACCTCCTTGAATTATTCGTCCGACTGAAGGTTGATGCTTTGTCTGTGTATCAACCAATCTATGTGAACTTGACAGTTTAATATGGAATTGTCTAAAACGTACAGACACTATTAACTTCTTGTGATGAAATGTTCACGACTAAATATCAATCAAAGCTCTGACTGAAAAAGACCTATCAATAGTAGATTCTGAACTTCATAAAACAGACATCATTGTGGAAGTGGAGAATATCAGAGACTGAAAAGACTTTACGAAAAAGATTCTCATCCCCTTCCAAACCTCAAAATGTCCTCCTTTTCTGAAACTCGTCATCAAGCCACGGCTGTAATTATGTCTTCCTTGGACTCAGAACACTTGTAAGCGTATTATTATTATTATTATTCAGTGAGCCGTTCATAACCTAATGATCGTGACTTCAAACATCTTCCGACTTTTAATATACCTTCATCGCCATCCAACATGGTATGTCAGTAAGTGTCCTTATGTTTAACAAGACTTGTAGTCACGAGTGGTTGCAAATAGTCGTGTTCTTGTGTGCTTCTTCTTCTTCTTGTCGAGAAATCGCCAGTCAACACTACTGAATATTTCTGAAGGAAGATGATACTCTGTCTCATCGGACGTAACTGATTCAAATGGAAATCTTCTGTGAAGAATTTCAAACTGTGTCCTCTTGAAATACAAACCATGTGTTGAGACACATTCAATATTGCTTTCCCACTGCAAATGAAGAAGGCCTGAAATCGGACTGTGCTGAGGAGTGTAAAATTAAAAGTCAATAAACATGATGTCGAGCACAAAGAAAATTCGTTATTATTGTATACTTTAATTCCTAGAGGAACATAGGGCTTTAGCTGCGCGTCTCCATTGCATCCGGTTTTCTGGCAACTTTTCCACTCCGCCCCAAGTCTGCCTACGTGCTTTCATCTCCTCTTCACATGACCTCCTCCAAGTCACCCTCGCACTGACGACCAACTCGCCGCTTCCTTTTCGGGTTCCACTCGAGCAATGGCTAGTCTAGTGATGTCACTCACTTGATGGTTTCCTCAGAGTATCCCCAATCCATCTCCATTTCTTCCTGCCTATTTGTTGCACAATCGGTTCCTGGTTGGTTCGCTCTCAGAGATTACACCATGTTGATGATCTTTTCTGGCCGGCCATGTGATCCTGAGTATTGAGCGAAGACAACTGTAAATGAAGGTCTGAAGTTTGTTTGAGATGCTCATCATGACGCGCTAACTTTCTGATCCGTATAGTAAGTAGCACTGACTTCACATTGGAGTTGAAAATCCGGATCTTATTTTTGATGCTGAGTGCTGTTGACCTCCACACAGATTTGAGAGTAATGAAAGCTTGTCTTGCTTTTCCGATTCTGGCTTTGATGTCCTCGTCAGTTCCGCCTGTAGTTGAGACGATGCTTCCCAGGTAGGTAAAGGAGGTTGTTTCTTTCAGGTTCCTCCCATTTATGCTGATTGTTGTTGCTGTCGGCCAGAAATCTTCATCACCTCTGTTTTATCCATGTTCACCTGAAGTCCTATATTTGATGCTTTTTCTGCCAGCTTGTTGCTTTTCACTTGCATATCTACCAGTTTGTGGGAAATCAGACATATATCATCGGCGGAGTCCAGATCCTCTCAGTTTTTTGTGTGACCTTTCGGAAGATTAGAATCGCAGTATCGCGTGCAGTATTCCGCCCTCTCTAATGAGTTTAGTAAGCGCATATCTTGCTTACATGGTTCAGTGACTGTCAATAATATCTTTTTATAAAGTATCCAGAAACCTGCTGTAGACACAACGCTCCACTTTCTTTACCACTGCTGAGTCTTTAGGTCTGTACACAGAAGAGAATTGTTTAATCACTCCTACTATGATGACAATTGATGCTTTTGTTCACAACTCTCCTATTCATATGTGACATCACATTCCTATTTGTTTCTGTTTGTACTCACTATGATAACAAATCATTCAGGAAATAATTTCTTTCATCACAAAAGTATTTCACCTCAATTCGATTTCTCTTGGCTTATGTTAGCAAGTACGATTATGAGAACTCATCTGTTTAATTACAATTCTTTCTTGTGGGGAAAGTCGTATTTAAGTGCGATTTTACAGTTGAAGGAAATTGAGTCGCTGAACTAAATATTTCAATTTCTCATGATTGGTTGGGAACTAACCATTCATTAAAAATCACCGCAGTGATGGATTTCGGTAAACTACAACATTGGTTCATATTCTTGTTCACAATGCATAAATTCTGGACAGTACTGTTTTTTTCACAAATTCACAATTTCGGAGCACAAATAAGTGCCAGTTGAACTAGTTATTGCCTTCAAATACCTATACATAGTGGATTGGCAAGTATGTTGTGTATGCCAAACTACGCATTCAGTTCGGCGTTCGATCCGCGGCAGACGCACTCCTGAACCTCGCCAAACCAGTGATAAGACTGATGAAGAGAGAAGGTCACCGGCATGAGGCTAACAACCCCATCCCGTAAAAATAAATATCACTGCTACCGAAACTTCAAGTCTCTAGCTTGAAGCTCTATATTCCACTGAGAACGTTTAAGATTTTTTTTTAAATTGCCAAACCACTGCCATTTTCAAAGGGCATTATTTGATGAAGTAGAGGTTGAGCGAAAAAAAAAGTTACCCGTGTTTAGATAAGAACTTTGCAAAGATGTATAAATTCATCGGTCGCTAATCTATGACATATAGTTTGTTAAAAACTAGTGGTTGGATACCCTAAATGTTTTGGATGTATTTACCTCAAGATAACGATGACGAAGGAATAGTTATGAGCCACACATGAACACACGACAGATAAATAAAACCGCTGCTGATGATGATTGGAATGAAGTTCAAAACTGATCCACAAGTGAATTTCAATACTCAGTTGAGGAATCTCTAGATGAGTCGAACTACTATTTCAGCGAGTTATATTCCCGTCTCAACCTAATTCATTAATCTACCCATCTTAAATAATCAAAAGAAAATCAGTAATAATATGTAAGAAAAGCGAATACTTTTATAAGACAAATTAAGTTTGCAACAACACACACACAGTCACCATTCCCCTGAAATCAAAAGAAAAAAACGATAGTTAGTCTGACAGATAAGAGAATTAACAAGCTTGTAGTATCAAACAGTTCCCGGTATTCATCTGTGTTACACGCATTATTTGTAATCGTCAAATAATAAGAAAAGTAATAATAGTAATAATAATAATAATAACGGAAGTTATTATAAAAAAAATTCAGTATCACATTAAACAATAAACTGTAATGTTTGCAGAAATAGCTGTTATGTGTTGGTGGGTGTAGTTGTGAACGCGCCAATGAATAGGTGACTGGAACCAGGTGTATTCTGTGTTTGTTTTTTGTTTATGAGATGGAAGCAGAAGACAACACTTCACTTTGAAAATAAAGAGAAAGAGGAATTAAGACATAAAACGATAAATCCAGTGAAAGAAGGAAGTTAAATACCTTTTGGGATCTCCTTTGCTGGGTAATTGGGTATAAGGAGGAATAGCGAAAGAAGAATCAAGGTTTTTTTTGTTCAGTTGAATAAAAATTACGTAAAGTATTGTAAGCAGTATAATAATGGTATCCTGTAGAAAATCAAAGAGAAAAAAATAAAGTAACGATACACAAGACTGACACATCACAGTTTACACCTGTCAGTATCTGCATAATGGACAAAATAGGCAAAAGTGAAGGCGTGTTAGACAGAGAGAAAAGACAAGAATCATAATAATAATAATAATAGTGATAATAACAGCAATAACCATTAGAGAAATATAACAGTAGGGCAAAAATTACAATAATCTAGTGTATCACCATTATAACTGTTTCTTTTCATTGTTAAGATATATATATATATATATATATATATATATATATATATGTATATAAAAGTAAATTTATGTAGAATGTTGATCATCTCGTGTGTTTAAAATTCTTTATTGACTCCACAAAGTGAATAGCGTATATATATGTGCAATATGCGCTCCATTATCATTTTGCACTTTTTCTTCAAACCACCTCGTATTCAGAACCTGTCAAATAAAAGAAATCCAAATATGAAGTAAGTAGGAGAGATTTTTTAAATTTTTGATTTACAGCCTCATTCCACACTGTATTTTTGGTACAAGTATGGAATTCTCAGCATGGATATATCGGTAGCCCAAAGTTTGCGGGCCGGTCATAGATATCAGGTGTGAGTCGGCAGGGGATCGAACCTCGGACCATGTGCATGGTCGGCGTGAGTCCTTACCACTGTGCCACCGACACACAATAAAATCAAGTAACTGAAAGTCTTAAATACCAGTGTTAATCAATTTCCACACTACTCTTTAAAAATTAAAGTGCCTGTCACCTTTGGCGTTCCGAGTGGAACATCGTGTTTCAAGTTTGAGGCTTGAATTCTCAGTAGCAGTGGTGTTTATTTTTTTTAGCTTACTGGGTGAGGTCGCCAGCCTTATTGACCAACCTTTCTTCTTTGTCGGGTTTACAACAGGGGATCTAACCATGTGTATGGTGTTGGCGAACATACTACGGCTGAACTACAGACGTGCAAAAGCGCTACAGCTTCGGGAGTCGATCTCGGGTAGCTTGGGTGAGAGTCAGGAATCCTTACCGCTAGACCGAGTGGGACATTGTATGAAATATAATCATTTAATGGTGATATTGCATAAGCATTAGGAAGGTTATCTTCAATAAATGAAATAATTTCATACTTCAAGTATTCAGCTTTTAAAGTTCAGTAGCATTAGTGTTTTTTTTTACGGGGCGAGGTTTCTAGGCTCATGTCTACCCTTCTCTCTTTACTGGGATTACTATTGGCTAAGAGAGTTTTAGGAGTGAGTCAGTCGGGGATCGAACTCCAGACAACTCTAAGCGACCAATTAATGCCACAAGAAAAAACACACCAGTCTAAACATATACATTTTTATAAACACATTTCGATTGGTGGCTAATAGCCGCGTAATGTTTGAAACGTCTCCGCTAGATTTAACCGAATCTTAGCGATTAATGACATCACTGAAACTCGAACACAGTACAACCACCAACCCCCAACCATTCTCAACGTCACTGTCCACCATCAAAACAATGCGTTCACAAGGTTATCCAGTAAATAATTTAAACTTATCAAGACTATATGCATCTTTCAGAAACACAACATACATATATAACGTAAGATCATAAAGTTCCAACTAGCAAAAAACTTGGTATCGCATTTCCGAGGAATAGTTGGCAGTGAACACAATAATAATATGCTGTTTTAAGGATGATCTTAAGAGGTGAGTGACAATATTTCGGCAGGGACAAGCCCTACCACTGTGATTATTACCGAACAACTTCACCTTTAAGAGTCTTTATCATGATATAAATTACTTATATAAAGTATCTAATCTAATCCATTTGACACGGTGCTTCCATTTACCAGCTAGATTAACTGAAAGACTTCAATAGTTATTTTGCAATATTCAGGATAAGGTCAAAAGAAGCACTTTTCACACCACAACTATTTATTTTTTTATTTTATTTTTGATTTACAGCTTGATTCCACACTGCATTTTCGGTACGAGTATGGAATTTTCAGCGTGGATATCGGTAGCCCAAAATCCGCAGGCCGAACATAGATATCGGGTGTGCATCGGCGTGGGCTCGAACCCCGGACCATATGCATGGTAGGCGAGAGTCCTAACCACTGTGCCACCGACGCACAATACATGACATAGTGGAGAGAAGAATCTTAGACTTGACAGGTATGAAAGTAAAAAAAAACAAAGGAGACATAGAGGTGTCGGTCTCTATGGTCGAAATTCCTTGATATAGAACTAAATAACCAAGTGGAAGACAGTGAATTCTAATACCTACGAAGACGTACAACGACATAGAGGCCATTTCCTAGGCAAAACACATCGACCTAAAATATTAATCATTGCATCATCCCAGTGTCTAAAAATTATTTAAGTAAGCAAAACAGGACGGAAAGAATACTTTGATTATATGTAACATGGAAATTTATGCAGTAGACTGTGACATACATTTGTTTTTAAGACAAATGAAAATACAAAAAAAAACTGCTAAAACAGTACTCTGAATGTTTAACTTCTAAACACTGTGTCATGTATTCAAATCATGCAGTATTAGATCACCCCGCTCAAAACTAAGTTGTATCCCAAAGAAGTATGTCCCTTCACTTTTGTCTTTACAATGGCCATCATAAACAGTTCATTCTCTCAATAATAATAATAATAATAATAATAATAATAATAATAATAATAATAATAATAATGTTTTCCATCCGAACTGCCAGTTTATTTTCCCTACTGTTATGTTTTTAACCTCTGTTTGCGTTAAGTAATCACACCTTGTTGTCAGCTAACAGGAAACAGTTCTGTAACTTTCTTACCCTTTTGTCACATATTAACGGATGTACAGCCCAGTTTATGACTTTATCGAAAAGAAACAATTTTCTTTACTGTAACCGCCTTTTCGGTTTTTCTATAATCTAATGTGTACATCTCACCGTTTAGACATGATGCTATTATTCGTGATCATTTGTGCGTCTATGGTTGAATGGTGGGATACTAACCAGTCAGTAGGGTATATGGTCTGTGTTCGATTCCCAATCGATGCACTCCTTAGCCACGCCTAGTCTACCAGACGATAATAAGCTCGGAAAAGAGGGAAGGTTGTACATGGAGTTAGCAACCCCACCCATAATAAAAAACTGCACAGCGGCTACACAGAAATCTCAAAAGCCTGAAGCCTTATATTCCACCCAGAAAATAAGAAATGAAGAAAACAATTGATTGTTTGGTATGTCACGTGACTTTGTATTTATAAAGCTTTTAAGTTAACTATAAACACATGAAAGCTTATTTTCAGTTTATGCACGAATGAAACACATGACAAACAATGAAACAATATTTAACCGGGTAATTCAAACATAACAATTCTGTATAAATAATCGGCGATTTGTTTATTTCAAGATTGGCTCAATTGCTAGTGTAAACCAGGGAGTAGAAAACAGAACGCATCCAGAAGCCCGTCACAGATCAAACTATTTCTCTTTGTGCATGATAGCTGAACTCTACTGAACAGTCTTAGATTGAGATGAAACAGCTGTCAAGTGATCTCTGATCCTCAGTGGGATTTTTTAGTTGATGTCACTTCATGAAGGGATTAGCCTTAAAATCAATCAAACTCACACAAATCGCAAACAGCAAAACTATCAAATTTATGCATAAACGAAAGAGGAAGAAAATCTCAGACAAATTTTGTAAGAGCTAGCCTTGGGGTACTTCATCTTTAGTTGAACAGATTTCAACACATTTTCTAAGTATTATGTGCAGACAAGTCAACAATTTCCCAGGATAACAAAACACAAGCATATGCACAGCACAGTCTATCATCTTATTATGAAATAGATCCCTATTCGACAAATTTTGTTGTTGTTGTCGCCGTTACCTTTATACAGTGGTACAAAAAGTCTCGTTTTTATTATCTTATGTGTGTGTGTGTAAGTGACATGTGCACTGATTCCAAGGTGTCTAAAGGCATAACACAATAACGTGGTATAACTAAGATATACTTTGGATAAGTACTTGTTGCAAATAAATATTATGAAGAAATATTTTGTTTATCGAAAGATAGGCCTGACAAGAAAAAGGAAGACAGAACTGTTATTAATGTTTATATGATAGGATAGGACAGATAAAAGCAAAAAATTTCAATGGTCGAAACAAACATCATGGTATATTCTACAGACCAAAACATCAAATTGCTTACTAGTATTAGGTAAAGGGGGAGAGCGAGAGAGAGATGAACACCGTCCATTTCACTACCATTGTGGCGTGACTCAGATTGATAAGAAGCAGCCGAAACTAAAACTAACATTTTAAGTCGATGACTGCTGCAGAGGCAGAAGCGTTTATTCCACAAATCTGAATTTAGTTCACGTTGTGGACCTGAAATAACCACATTGGACAACTTGTTTCACCTTGCGCCAGTTGCCCACCAATCAGAACAAGTTATTCCACTCTAACCTAGTCGAATTTTAACGTGGCTAACAATGCATATATGTATGATGTGTTTCTCCTGAATACAGGCCCGTTACAAAGTCTCTTACCTTTCCCCGTTACACAATAAGCTCTTAAAATTTATGCCGGAATGAAAAGATTTGGTCTGTGTTACTGCTGATGATTCTAAGGTCATGCCGTCTACAATTTGAATCTTAGTTATGTATCAAGACGTAAACACACAAGATACATACTCCTTTCTATACCCGAAACTTCCATAGACCGACCACTTTCAGTTTTCTGCTAGCATAATCCAAATTAAGAGATAAAATGGCATTAAAAAAAGAGAAATTTCATAATTAATTAGAATAAACTTCCCCATTTATTTCTAAACATTACGCCTAACCGCTATACTGTTCACATGGACGACTCTATGAAACAATAGTAATGAAATATATGAAGCTACTTTTAAATTCCAGTCTCTAATAATCGCATTTTAGGGTAAAATTGAATAGAGCGCATCGCCATAAAGCACACCCAGTACTTCTTGCGAAATAGGATATCCTGTCGGCGCCATAATTGATGCTATTTATTAAAAGTCATGCAATTGTTTGGTACCTGAACAGTGATGTTAGTGGCTAGTTTCTTAGGTGTGATATGAATACTCATTGAGATATACCTTTTTTAAGCGACAAATATATATATATATATATATATATATATATATATAACGGAAAGGAGTGTCAGCACGTGTTTGAATGCGATTCGTTTCAAATATTTAGTCTTATCAACACATTATTATTAATGATTATGGGCTGACTGACTGACTGTCTCCTGTCCATTTTCTAGTTGTTTTGATTTATACGCAGCTTCTCTCTCTCACATACCAGTATTAAACAACGGATCTTTGAGAAAATATAACACAAGATTTGGCTGTAACTAAATTTTCGAACAGAAACAGATCACGTCGATTATTCTACAGGATTGACAATCCACGATATTATAAAACAGAAAGAATTGCAACTTCTATTGTGACCTGCCAACAGTATGATAATACGGTAAAAGAAATGACCAGAACACAGGTATTAAAGGAATAAAAAATGAGTCTAGCTGGCCTATCACAGGTTTGTATACACAATGCTGACGGTAAGAAAGGCTTGTTTCTACTAAAAACGCAATTTTAATGGTACGACTAAGATAACTGATTTCTCTCATTAAGGATTGGAGATACTTTAAGGTTCGACTTTCTTTTTAAAAATAGTTGTGTTTCTTGATAAGTAAATACAGTGGATTTATGAACGTCTCCATGTAAACGATCACTGTTGTCTTAGTGATATTTTTTCCTTCACGTTCCCCAGTGGAACATTTTTTTATTTTTGATTACAGCTTGATACCACACTGTATTTTTGCTACAAGTATGGAATTTTCAGCATGGATATCGGTAGCCCACATTGTGCAGGCCGACCATAGATATCAGGTGTGAGTCGGCAGGGGATCGAATGTCGGACCATGTGCATGGTCGGCGTGCATCCTTACCACTGTGCCATCGAGGGCTTAAAGCTAGTGACTTCATGTTTCTGTAGCAGTGTTTATTTTACAGGATGGGGTTGCTAGCCTTATGCCCAACCTTTCCTCTTTACCAGCATTATTTCTGGCTTAGCGAGGTCAATGAGTGAGTCGGTCGGGGATCGAACCCCGGACCATGAGCATGGTCGGCAAGCGTCCTAACCGCTATGCTACCGAAGCATAATAAATTACGTTGGATGAATCATTTGACGATTTCGTAAAATTTTATCTCTTACGTTGGTTGAGATAGGTCTCTGTATCTACCTATCATTTATTTCAGCTTTCTATCCTAGTGTTAGATTGAAGAAAGCTGAAGGCAGCTTTATACCAAGAATTTATTTCATTAGGTCATGGAGCATTGATCTACACTCCACAGGTTACACGACGGGCGAAAGCAACGTTTTGCGATACTGGATTAATGACCAAAACCCGAGTATTCCGGTCTAAGCGCAGGAAACCAATCGATGGTCTAAAGTCACGCAGTGTAGTTTTAGATTCATTCAAACAAAATTGAGATTGTAAAACGACACATTTGTTATCAACACCACATACAACAGTAAAGTGAAGCGTTAAAAATACGGGTCAGTTAAAAACAAAAACAAATAATAAAAATAATAGGGTTAAGCCATAAGAAGATAGTGCAAATGTTAGTACAATGGCACACACACACATACACACAAGTCAGGGGGAAAAGGTTGTAATTACAAAATCAGTTGAAACACTCAAATATCAACATTGTAGGTGGATTTTCACTGAGTGACGTTTCCAAATTGATCACAGTGGTGCAGACGCATTCATACATTATTTTCATTCGAATTCTAATTATATATATATATATATATATATATGATTTTCCTACTTTCTTTAAATATTCTACATCCAACTACTGAGAGGCATAGTTTTTCTTTAATCATCCTGTCTATCTGACCTATGCATAAGTTGTGTTAACTTAGACCAGTACTACCAGTATTACTACGTAAATGAAATCAATTTTTCTGATATGTAATTCACGCTTTTAATTTTAAGTGACAATAACAGACAGTAAATGAGGGTGAAAGAAGAAAAACAACTTGAAAAGATTACCTTTAACAAGTCTTTGTGGTACACTCGCTAGACTGCGAACAGTATCACCAGCCATTTGATTGCACTTAGACCATAGAGTTTTGACAGCACCAACTGCTTCGCTTAATTTACTTTCACATTCTACATCTGTACTTGTTTGATCTTTACCAGTGGTGTCATTTTTCTTATCGATACCACAATCACCAATAGCATTATCTGCTGTATAGACAGATATCAAGAGATCATTGGATGGATTTGATGAAGATGGAAGTGGTGGTAGATTAGCCGGTCGTGTTGCATGAATCTCTACTAAAGGCCATGAACTAGCCACAGAAGGGTGTAAAACTTCCTCTTTTAAATTATTGATTAAGTCATCAAATTCTTTTTCAGTTGAACATAGAAACCCTAACACCATACTAGGATCCAATCGTTTCAGTGGCATACGTATAGGATTTTCACAATGATATGTTTGATCATATTCTGATTTTAAGTTACCACGACCTGCAGGTTGTGTAGTATGTGGATCTAAACAGATCACATCATCTCCGACAACGCCTACAATCCATACAGCATGACACGGTGATCCACCCAAGATGCCAATACAATACGGCACACGAAACACAGCCTACAATGAAATAATATGAAAGGAATTTACTTTTATCGACAACAACAACAAGAAAATAACAGGTGACATTAAAAGTACTCACAGTAGTTACAATTATGTGGAGATCTTATTCGATTACGCTGTTAATCACTATCGAATAAATAAGGAAGTACGATTAGGAAAAATATACGTAGGTCTGTACACTGACAAAACAAATTTGATCTAACTTGAGAACAGTAATTATACTGAGGGGGTAATCTGAAGAAGACTGAAATACGGAGTCTATTTACATTTAACTTTTATATATATATATATATATATATATATATATATATATAAGGAGTATCTGCGACCTTGAAGGAACTCATGTCTCTTCTGGGATTCGAACCCACATCACCCAGTGCTTCAGCGAGAGACTTTAACATTTAACTATTCGGGTTCACGACTTTGATTGAACACTAGTCAGTAATTAGTGTAGTGTCTAGTCCTATCTTTGGTGCAAACTGAATTCAATCAGTCAAGCCTCATTGAAAACTTGACTGATAGAATTCAGTTTGCACCAAAGATATAATTTGGTAGCCAGATGTGCAATACACAGTACGAGATACATCTTCGATGCAGTTCAATAGGTTAATTTTCCCATATCTTAGTGATTGTTAGTATTCGTATTCAGATTCAAGCCTATCAACCGTCGGTCCAATTATGAAAGTGTTATGCACTGACAATTGTTCTCCTTTTCATGTAGTAGGTATGATCCATCATTGTTGTGATTTCTTGTTATTATTGAACCTAAAATATCGATAGCTTGCGGTACTACATCATACCCTTGAGTTTCAATTTCATATCATTCGTGTGGTAGTAGTGATGGTTGATGATATAACGAGAAAATAATATTTCCTTTTCTTCAATACAAACGTTAAATCAGTTCTTCTATAAGGTTCAGAAACTTGGCAGGTCACAAAGAATATTCCCAACAACCTGTCGCAGACCTTTATTAACAACTGTCTTCACTCTATACTGGAGATCAGATGGCCGGAAAGAATCACCAACAAGAAAGTATGGAAACAAACAAAACAAGAACAAACCAATCGCCCAACAAATGTGCAGGAGAAAGTGGAGATGGATCGGAAACTCGCTGAGGGGGCCGCTGGGTGACATCGCGCGCGCGTCAAGCCATTGCTCGAGTGGAACACGAAAAGGAAGCGGCGAGTAGGACATCCAAGGGTGAAATGGATGAGATCGTGTGAAGAGGAGCTGAAAGAGTATGGATTAAGATGGATGCAGGTGAAAAGTACAGCAGAAGACAGAAGCAAACGGAGACGTGCAGTTGAAGCCCTATGTTCCACTAGGAATCCAAGGGAACAATAATAATAATAAATACTGTGTGTATGCACGCGGACACTACAATCTGTATCCTTTACGCAGACGAAATTGGCAGCGTCGACTCATCCATTCATTATTATAAGCAAGCACTAAGAAAGTTATTATGACGGAGAGTGAGACTTGTTAAATATAAATTTTAACCAAAAATAAAATATTACAGCACAACCGCTCTCATTTCTATTCACTTTACACACTTATGCGTAGAAGCTGATTGTGGTTGACTGGTTGCCCGAATCTCGGTAGGTGTAGAGCACAGTTAGAATGTGTAGCCCAGTAGTGGTAAGTTCGGTCGCCTAGGTGGATGAGTCACACAGCTCAACCAAAAAAAATTTTTGAATTACTGTTACAAATTAACTTTTACATACCTTAATAGCATTAAAATAGCAGGGATTAGGATTATGTAATCCAAGCCTAAGAGGGACAAATAATAATAACGGTCTCCAATTGGATGGGGGTGAAGTTAGTGTAGACGACAAAGGTTCATGTTGTGTAACCGCATTACTGTCGTTATTATCACCACTATTGCCTTGTTGATTCTCTTCATTTTTTCCTATTTGACTATTTTCATCAGATTGATTATTAGTAGAATTATCGAAATAAGGAGAAGTTTTATTGACTTCACAATTAGTTGATGATAATGTAGCTTCGTTCACTTGATTTGTACATGTGGAATTTGTGAAAGTTGGAGGTAGAACAATTTCAATGCAACTGTCATCCACTTCTCTAGTCACAGGTAACTGGAGTTGGGATTGTAAACTGAAACTCACAGATATGAAATAGAATATTATGCAATAAAATATCAATAAATATAAATAGTAACGATTATTATTATTATTACTAATAACACAAAAGCAAATATTAATAAGGTGTAAGAGTGCAAAGTTAGTTGGAGAACATTTACCCGATGTGTCATGTTATGTGGCCAGAGCTGGCAGTACTAACCAGTCGCATAGGCTTAAATAGGTAAAGTGGATTCGCTGACTGAAAGTTGAGTGCTTAAGCCAACGACCCACCGCATCTTCCAGCAAACGTAATCATGCTCTCAGCTGGACTAAGGGGAATTGAATGAGAACAAACAATGAATCCAGTCTTCTAAATTTCTGAATAGTCGTTATTAATTTACAGTTTACATATCTGTTGAGATTTTAATAACTCACTAGTTCTATGTTAGAATGCGGATCCACATCAATTAGAGAACCATTCAAAATCAGGGAGTATTGGAGATCTGTTTCGTTCTAGTTTGGGAATATTCAGCAGTACGCACCAATTAACTCCATTGAAGGTCCAAACCCAGGACCTTCAGATTACTAGGGGAGATCACTGACAATTCGGTCCTTCTACCAGTTCATGTTACATGCCACCGTACTACCGGCCGATGTCATCGACGAGTATTTATCCTCACACCCGACCTAGTGGGCACCGCTGGCCACGACTTCACACTATAATTCCAGGCAACTTCAGCCTGCAGTTCCAAACAACGATGAAACAGCTGTCTAGTGCTGCCTGGTCTCCAATGGTTCTCTAACTGATATGAATCCGTCATTCAACTTTAGTTCAATCAAATCCCCGCAAACGAACACTTGAAGATTCACTGGTTGATTACAGTTCACTATAGTTCAAACAATATTGTTATCTATCATGAACAGATAACCTCCTGAAATAGAATAGTGTTGCGTGTTAGTTAACAAAGCAATTCATTGTTTTTTGAAAGTAAACCGTTCACCTTTTATTATATTCAGTAAAGAAAAAAAAGAAAAGAAAAGAAGCAGCACAAATCGATTTACCTATTCTGTGTTGTTTCTACCGTAACTGACCTATAATATGACCAAAACTACTTGTAATTATTACTATTATGGTTTGTTCTAAAAATAAGTAAATAAGTAGTATGAAGAATAATAAGAGAAGAGAACAGCTGTAGCAGAATGGTATTCACTGATTTTGTGTTACTTACATTATACTTATTTATAATTACCCAAATGAAAAAGAGAGATTAATTTATTCAATATGGAATTATATACTGGTGAAACTTTGAGAATAAATTTATCTTCAAGTATTGGTTTTTGTGTGGATTCTGTTTGATTGGATGGAGGGTTTTATCATGAGCTGACATCAGTTAGAGAACCATTGGAAAACCAACTGGAAGTGCTAGACAGTTGTTTCGTCCTAGTCTGTGACTCTTCGTCAGTACGCACCCACCGGGGTTGAAATAGCTCAGTAGTAATGTCTTTAAATGCAGGACTGGGTGGTAAGAGTTCGAATCCCACTGGGGACATCATTTGTAGATACATATAGCTGACAAGTGCCAGTAAACTCGAGCTTAGGTCTAAGGGGCTTTTCCCATACATTGCTTTCAAATTCATGACATCAAAGTTAAAGCTTATCACATCAAAACATGGTACCAATTCATAAAAGTATTAACTGTTCGTTTCAGAAATGTTTGAAGCAATCTGAGGTCCTCTGGATACTAAGAATCAGCGATTCGAGAGCTGTGAACATGGCTTTAAACTGTTCCTATTGACGTAGGCGTATTCAAGTTCAAAGTAGTTGGCACTTTTTTAGGATTTCGACACGACAACAGGAAGACACAATACCATAAACTTTCTGCATTCTGGAGGTTGTAACCAGTCTTTATTTAGTTGTTAGCTCACTGCTTACAATTTTGGTACTATTCTACTACTCTTTTTTGTGCACTGGAACGCATTCAGTCTATCTGTGTACGTCTGCTTTTCGAAAGGTTCTAGGAAATATTAAAAGAATTCTCTTGAAAACTTACTCAACTAAATCTGTATCATAATTACACTTTTGAAGTGCTTCTTTATTCCAATCACAACTCTGATTTAATTCTGAAATATTTTGAACAAATGGACAACTAAACGAGGATGTTGACGAGTCCGACTCCTCTCCGGCATCAATAGCATTCTCATTAGAATTATGGATTGTTGAATCATTCGGCTCATTTTTATTCTCATTTTGTGACAGATCATTATTGAAGTTGAAATAGGATCGACGTTGACAGCATAAAGATTCTATGCATAAAAAAGATACGAAGTTGTACGTTTAACAATAAATGTAGAATGTCTACAGACAAAAGGGAGTAAAATTTAAAGTAAGGACACACTGACAACTGAAGCACAACAAGCAGGCCACAGGTAAAAGAGGCCTCACAACGTTATATCAGATAATCAGGTCTCTATCCAAGAAAAGATCAATGCACGTCAAACCTATACAAGATGGTCAAGGAAACCTAATTACTAAATGAGCGAGACAAAGAAAACAATGGGCTGATTATTTCATTGGACTCTAGAATCGACCATCACCTGCAACTCGTCCAGAAATACCGCCAAACAGAACGCATAGAGCTGCCAGTGGACACCAACGACGAAAGCGGAAATCTTCAGTGCGATCAAGCTACTGACAGTCGGCCGGACCAAAGGAAATCCCCCACCCTCCGAAGCACTGAAAACGGACCCAGAGACTGCAGACTGCTAACTCCAAATAGGTAGGAGGAAATGGACAGAGATTGGGCTTCGCGTGCCAGGCCATTGCTCGAGTGGAATCCGGATGGGAAAAGTCGAGTGGGTTGTTCAAGAGTGACATGGATGAGATCGTATGAGGAGAAGATGAGAGATTATGGCCAATTGTGGACCCAGCTGAGGAGGACGTCAGAAAACAGAAGTGGGAATGTTTTGCTGAAGCCCTATGTAATACCCGGAACCCAAAGGAACAATAATATAATAATAATACATTGAAGATGCATACTGGAATCATGTAAACTTAGGGAAAAGCAATTTGTATGCACAGAATGATTACTTAAAAGAAGACAAACAGATAGGAAATGAATTCTGAGAAAAGAAGAAAACGAAATAATTATGGTCAAGGAAGAAGTTACTGTTTCACTAAAAAGTGAAGAAACTTGAAGTGTTGTTTTCTCTCTATAACTACCATAAAATGTGAATAGACTCATTCAGACTGCCCTAGTCGGGTAGTTTACACGTTTTTATACAGTGAGAGGGGATAACTATGGCCTTTATAGACTGAAACGACATGTTAGTCTGGTCACACTGAAATTAACTTTATCACACAACTAATACAAATAGCATTGTATGCAGAGTTAAGTGCTATTTTATAAGGTGTCAGGAAAATCACCAATTCCCTCTATTTTAGTTCCTTACTTATTACTCCTATTATTGTTACTGTAATACAGGTAATATATACTTTTTAAAAACTCACAATTACTGCGCCTTCTGTATAGCAGAACGACTTGAAATGATACAATGTGTTCTCAGGTTACTTAATAATTTCTTATAACTGTGAATACATTCTCAATCTGACTTCAGTAATCTGTATTTCTGGTCATAACTTTACACTTAGTCTAGAACAAAAATTGTTCTGTTGGTGAAGAATCGAATATCAAATTATTGATACTTCTAGAAACCTAGCATTTGAGTTCTGATCGGCTGTTTATCGGTGAACATCTTTCAGATAGATTCACAGGGTTCTGATGAAAAGTCGTGACCGATGACGTACACAGAGTTGACTACTCCTCATTGATAACACTGTATGTTTATACTAAGAATTAGCAGAGGTTATAAAACACGGGGTCATTGGATTCTTATTAGGTGGCTGAGTGGCAGTGTGCAGTGAAATACTTGGGATCTGTGTTATTTCGTATCTTAAAATTGACTGACTGTTAAACGTTAATTTTTTAAATTGTTTTTTGATCATTTAGTCCAAACAAGTAATTGAAAAACTACGAGTTTAAATTCACCACTTATTCGGTCACCACAAAAGAGGTTTCCCACTTATCAAGAAAAAGAACTAAGGAAGAAGACAGAGAGAGGGAAAAGGTCGATGAAGTATTATCAGAAAAAAAAAACACTTAGAAAACGTAATTTACCGAAGAGCTGTAAGACAGACTGGGGCTTTGGATTTCAAAACAGTAGACAAAAATAGAGAATAGAATAGCAACTGGATGATATTACAGTAGAAATATATGAGTTTGAGAAAGGATGAAATATTATTTGATCGAAAGTTGTTACCAATGGAATCCAGAATGCTCATTCTGTCTTGTTTGAGATCGACTTATCAGCTGGATGCGTGTACATCCAGTGAGTGGTCATGTTCCACGCAATCAGTAACAGTTGTGGATTTCATTGACTGGTGCCATGTTCTGGTTTGACTACCACTGGCTCTTTTCCAACTTGACCCTATGTCAGCCAGCATTGCCCGTCGAGGAAGGCGATGGCTAGGCAGGCATACATGCGTAACACATGTCCTAATCATCTCAACCGATGTAACTTCACAGCCTCGTCTATTGATTTCCCCTGCTTACCTAGCACTCGACCGATGCCTAACCTCACTATTGCTGACCCTACTATACCACTTCACAGGAGAGATAGAACACAGGCACCTATGATCAAAGACGGCTAGCCAAGTTTTTCTTGTCCTTTACTCTCAAGGGCCAGGTCTCACAGCCATAAAGGAGGACAGAGAGAACTGCTGAACAGTACACACGCCCTTTGGTCGATAACCCAATATCCCAATACACGAGGTAACTGTCCCTAGGTTATGTGTGTCCTTGGTTCACAGAATGTACTCCTGAATTTTTTATAATTGGAATTCAACAAAGGAGACAGAGATGAGATATCATAATGGATTAGTTTGTGCTTCAGGTCAGATAGAACTGTGTCACACGATCTACTATCAAATAATCTTTTATTTTTATTTGAAGATCCTGGACGAAGGAAAATATCATGCGATGAACTCCACTGAAAATTCTGTGCATTATATAAACATTGTTCAGAGTAATGCTATTAATTATTAATTTCAAGGCATGGTGGTCGGCGTGTTCGTACTAGGGGCCAAGATGTCAACAGAGACCGAAGTATTTCTGTTCAATAAAATAAGTTAACCGGAAATTTAAAAGTAATTCCAATGACTAAGAAACTGGAATAAGTTATCTGTTTAGCGTTGGAGAAAATATTCAAACATTCAACGATGATAAACAATGAATGATATTGGTTTATATTAACAAGAGTCTTCAGTCGTTGGATCTTCACAGCATTTTGATTACTCCAATGAAATAACTAACTTTTGCCAACAAGTGACAAACCAACAATTTTAGACTTTAAGAAATGATTTCATTTTTGATTTCAACCATCATTAGATTTAGTTTTTCCAACATATACCGTATGTTAACTAACCTAACTATTGACCGATTCGTATAAGTGGTATTATTTATTCCCTCGGGTTTCAAGTGGAACACAGTGCTTCAACAACCTATCTTGCATTCCATCCTGTTCTCCGCAGTCCTTTTTAGCTGGCTCCACTATTCCCCACAAGCTTTCATCCCCTCTTCATACGACCTTCTCTAGTGTCACCCTCGGACGCCCAACTCGTCGTTCTCCATTTGAATATCACTCGAGGGTTTATTGAGTGATGTTATTCAGCAGTCTCCTCAGAATGTGCACAATCCATCTTCACTCCTTTCGGAATATTTGTTAGGCAATAGATTCTTGATTGGCACCTTACCGGATTTCCTTCTTGTTGTCAACCCTTTTGGTCATCTGAACTTCAACTATGGAGAGAAGATGAATCTGTTGATGAAAATTTGCAGTAGACAGTATGAAATGTTTTCGGTGATGCCCGTATTAATTCTCTGAATCATGCTGTAACACTGACTCAAAAATTCCAATATAGTGATGAGTGTCAACGATGTCCACATTGACTTCAGAATAGAAAACGCCTGTCTCGCTATCCTGATCCGATGCTGGTAGACTTTGGCATTCTCATCTGTGCCGCATGTAAGTAATTGAAACGATGCTGTTTAGATAAGCGAAAGAGATGACTTCCTTCAGATTAATCATATTGATGGTCACTAGCGCTTGTTGTTATTGGTTGGATACCTTCATCACCTGTTTTCTCTGTTTACACGAAGTCTTATTTTGGCAGCCCATTTTGCCAGCTTGTTAGTTTTTGCCTGTAGACTAAAGTTTGTGTGGTATTAAACATAAATCATCATCTGTGGAGTTTGAAGGCAACATATGCCTGTCTTAACACTGTTCACTGTCTGTTGAATGAACCAGTCCACCACAATCAGGAATATCATCGGTGATAGTAGGTAGTCTTGTCTTCGCTTCGAAGGCTTTGCTGAGCTTTCCGTTGTGAATCAACCAACAAGTGGCTTTACACAAAGCTGTTGAATAGGGTTTACGGGCACTCCATAGTACTGAAGCAATCACCGGATTCCTTCGTAGTCACAACGATATCGAAGGCCTTTTTGAAGTCCCTCAGGCTGAGGTAGACTGTTGATTTGTAGGTTTGAGGTTAGTAAGCATTCTACAGCTGAAGATAGATATTATGGGTGATAATTAAAAGTGAAATGAAAATCTATGTGGCAGCAGAATTCGAACCAGCCGCCTACGAATTACTACTCCACCCTCAACTATCTATCACCCATTACATCAATAAATAATAGTCTAAATTTCACAGCATATATAAAATTTCATTGAATTTCTTTCAATCGTTACTCTATCTAAACGATCAGAATTCTATATTGACTATCAGTTTATTAAAATGAGGTTAATCAATTTAATTATTACTACTCAATTAAAATATCAGGTGACAAATAATTCAATGGGGTTTTCTTCAGAAAAAATAAATTTAAAATCCATCAGAAAATCAATAAAACTTGAACCACAGAAAACCAGTTAGGTTAGTATTAGCATGAAGAAAAATTATGATACTATTAGAAAGACATACAATTAATTATGAGGTTTAACAGAAAGTATATTGTATACACTGGGTTCTATTTGAAGCAATTAGTCCCCTTGATGAATTTTAACGGAACAATAAGATGACGTGATATGTCTGAATTGTGTGATGTATTTACACACAACAAATTTCCAGCAAAATGTCTTCAGTCGCTGAACCCTTCTTGTAGCCTAGAACCAGATGGTTATTCTTAAAAAATGTGCAGATATCCTAAGCTGTTCTCTCACTGATATATTTAATGAATCCTTTTCCAGAAATGTCGTGACAGCCATTTGGAAGGACATTAAAATTATACCCATATCTAAGTCAACCACTGGAACATGTATTAAATTTAGACCTAGTGCTATTACCTCTCCTTTTCTAAAAACTATGTAGAAGTTGCTCTTACTTAATCTCCAACCTTCACTTAAAGCCTTTAACGACCCCAAACAATTTGCCTATAAACAGAGTAGAAGTACTTTAAATGCAGCTGCAGTCTTGCATCATAACACTGTCTCCAGTTTAGACAAAGGGGCTAAACTTGTTCGCTACACCTTCCTAGATTACACACCTGCTTTCAACTTAGTACCTAGGGATATTTTGTTAAACATGCTTGCTGAAACTCAAACTTACTGTAGGGGTTGTCAAATGGCTGCATTCTTATTTCTCAGGAAGAAAGCAGTACACTGTATGTCAGGGGAAGTCGTCTACTTCATTGCTTACTGAGGCTGGTGTCTCTCAAGGTGCTGTCCTTTCTCCTTTTCTGTTTTCTTTTTTCTTGCATGACTTACTATAATGAAATGACATTTGTTAAGTGTGCCGGCGATCTAACTATTTCAATGGTTGTTAATCCCCAGTCAGACGCCTTCTAAGATGAACAGTTTTCTATCAGGAGTCAGCAAATGGTCTTCGTCTAGTGATCGTAAACCAAATCCTTCCAAATGTCAGACTGTTAATTTCAGCTTCTGATGTAAAAGAAAGTTAAATGAAGCTGTTGGTTCCCATGACCGTTGCAAAATTGATGACAGTGATATAGAAATCAAGTCTGATGTTAAGCATCTTGGATTAACTCTTTCTAACTAACCTTCTTTACACTGGTAAATAAACCGTTTTCTCCATACTCATTTCACCAAGCTTTATTGTTATTGTTCTTCTTATATTTACAAACCTCTCAATTATTTGTGTTGGACTCTACTTCGAACTGTGTCTACAAGTTCACCTGCAGCTGCGGTGACACCTATATAGGTAGAACCAACAGAATGTTCCAATGTCGTCGAAAAGAACATGTTCCAAAATGGCTACTAAATCATATAGAAAATCCCAATGCGGTTAATCTGAATAGAAATCCAGCATCATCCATTGCAAAACACTTATTAATGTCAGGTCACAAAACCAATGCTGTTAATGACTGTTTCACAATTATTTCACATAACTCTAATTCAAGGTTATTGAAGGTGATAGAAGCCCATTGGATTAATCACATACAGCCTAAACTGTGGGTACAGTCAAAAAACAATAGACTTCAATCTTCGCCTACCATGGACAACACGACCTGTCTAAATATGATCGGTCATTAGTATGTTCCCCTGAACTCTGCATACAGAAAAAGTTTGTCCAGTCTCTTATTCTACCTTGGTCTTAACCTCTTCACTAATCGTTCCCTGTAAAAAAATTTTGATTTTTTCTTTTGTTTTTAATTTTACTTTTAGTTTGCTTTTGCTTTAATAATTAATTCACTATTATCAATCTCATATGCTCCTTTTGTATATTTTCACATCCTCTTCACACTTGTTAAATTGACACTCAAATACCTTTATTCCCACTCAAGAGCAATTTTAACCTTATCAAATATAATTTTCTAAAGCATGTACTTTTGTTTTTTATTTAACTGGGTAATTGTCATGATCTTTATTTTATTATTGTTAACCATGTTAGTTGTAAAGCGGTTGTAAAGAAACTACGAAAGATATCATCTCGCGAAATTTGTCTTCTAAATGCCTTATTCAAATTTATCAAAGGGACTAATTGTTTTAATTTGTGTTTTTGTGAATTTTGTCATAAGTGTAAACATCATCTAAGCTGTGTAATAACTGTCAGTTTTTTTGTCTTTCTCCACACCGGGCTATATATATTGATTACAGCTTGATTCCATACAAGTATGGAATTTTCAGCATGGATATAGGTAGCCCAAATTTTGCAGGCCGACCATAGATATCATGTGTGCGTCGGCAGGGGATCGAACCTCGGACCATGTGCATGGTCGGCGAGAGTCCTAACCACTGTGCCACCGACGCACACATATCAACAGAACATTAGACTCAATAATCTATAAAATGCTAAAATTTTCAAACTGAATCGACAATACTGTTTGAAACAAACTCATTGTTATTATTATTATTATATATAACATTCTCAGTTCTTGCTTCAAATATTTTTGACTTTATATCGTAAACGTGGACAAACTCCTCTGATTAATTTTCTTTTAATTTTTAATTTTATTTATATTTTGAGTAAATCAGATGCAATATTGTGACAAATGCTGAGAATTCTATTCTGTATTATAAGTACTCTTTTTGGAATAAAGTAGATTGTTATTATTACTTATATTACTGACACTTGATATAGGAATTTATACAAGACGACAAAGTAGCCCTTTTCTCCAGCAGACTAAATTTCCCCCTTTTTTCAATCGAAATGTTACTTCTCAGAATTTGTTATCAATATAATGACTTCGAATCTATTTCCAGTAATCAATCACTGAACTCAGAAGCTTAACAAACCTATTCCATCAACACTGGGTGAAACGAATCTGGGTCGTTTTTTTAACTTAACAACCTTTATTACCCAATGAGTTACCAGGTTTATCTGATAAATCCGCTGTCATTTTGTTATCATTATCGTGAAGATGTTGACAAAATGCTGAGTTTTCTGAACACTTTTGGTGTACACTTGAATACGTTTGACAGGTATATGTGATGGAAAGTTGATCATCAGCGTCAGCCACTGCAAGTTGCTAATAAACACCATTAGCTGTCCCTCCCAGCCTCACCGGCAAAAATGTATACTATATATAATAATATAATAAATGAATCAATGAATTACGAAAACACTGAATGTTTATTTAACGAACAGCGTTGCTGTTATGAATTTTCTAAAAAAAAACGCACATACAAAGAACTCACTGATTTCATCTATAATAATTCCATCTTCAACAGAAATATGAACAAAAAGATTTGTCCAACGATCATAGACAGACAATTTCCTGAAAAGTAAACGAAATAAAAATATTAAATAAATATAAGCAGTTGAGATTATAATGTGACAACTTTTTATGAATAAACAAATAGATCAATAAAGATATCATGTTCATAATACAATGCAATGCAATATATCAGTTTAGTACTTTGGTACCCAAGTGTACAAGACTGTAGAATAAGCAAACTGCATGCCTATTCGGTGTTGTTATGATCTTGGAGCTGAGTGGTTTAACTGTCTGGAATAAAGTGGTGACATATACAGAACCAACAGAGTCACTTTATCCCGTATTATATAGATTGTAAGATTCAACACAAAAAGAAAGGAAATACCGACATTGTCTAGAAGACAGATTGTAAGAAATATAAAAAACACTATATTGGCTAAAGTAGACACCTGATTTATCTTTGCATCAATGAACATAAATCAGCTATCAAAAGGCACAATATTTATTTAGCTATATCACACTAAATGGCGTTTGGACAACTACGAGAAGTGTCAGCAATCAATCTAATAACAATTCTCACTCTGTCAAATTGTGAACCCTTACTTCCATCGTCGTGTTTTGAGTAACCGTATCAATTATGTTACTCCTATCCATTATTCAATGACATATTTCTGGCTGATTTCTGTGCATTTCAGTTTGGTGTTGTTGGTAATGTGCATACCTGTGTGAAGCAAGAACTTTACATTAGGATTACGTTACGACATCAAGTCAGTATGCTTGTCGGGATGGAAAAGACAAATTTATATGAATGTATGAATATTATATGGGGTCAAATTTCATTCTAAAATCCTCACCAAGACAAACGAGTAAATAATATAACAATACACAAAAAGAGAAGTATGATGACAAGGAACAAAAGTAAGTGTGAAGTAACTTTTCATAAGCTATTTCCAAATATTGGGGGTTGTAAAGCCTTCATTGACTTCTAAACAGATTTTATCATAGCCCGTGGAAAATCGAAGAGCACAGAACAGCTGTCACATCCCAGGTTGGAACTCTTCGACAGTGAGCACCCACGACTCTACTAGGGATAGAACTGAGGAACTTCAGATTACAACGTCCATCCACAACCATGAAATAATTAGCAGAATTAAAATATGAGTAGTGCCAATACATGCAGCATATTAAACGCCCTTGGATACATTCAACATTTGAAACCAACAATATTGACAGATGGCCTGAAATTTAGCATCCTTATTCAGTCGATGTGATTCAGTGTTCCCATTCCTAAATTCCTTATCATTGTATGTAGTCGATTGACCGCCTTTGTTTGAAATATGTTGCATAAGAAGATTACGCAATTTGGATAAATCGTCTCCTCATTAAAATGCATAATGGAAACAACTGAGGAGATAATCTATAGAATATTTTTTTGTCTGGGTAAGTTAAAAAAAGAAGACGAAAATGATACAACTTAAATATATAAGAGAAACTGTTCGCTTCTTCTCTAGAAAAATAAATCTATAAAGATTGGGTTTGATTGTTAAAAATTCAATGTACGCAGGAAAAACTTCAGATAATTATAGGACAGGATTTCAAGAGGATATATAGAGAAGACACATGTGATGAAGATACCTAACCAACGACAACAACAAGCACCAATCACTATCAGTGGGAGGAATTTGAAAGAAGCCCCCTTTTTCCGTTTATCTAGAAGGCATAATTTCAACCAAAGGCATACGGCACGGATGAAGATGTTAAAGCTAGGATCGGAAAGGCAAGACAGTCCCTCATTGCTCTGAAATCAGTGTGCAAATTTACTACTATCAGCACTATAGAGAACGAGATTTGGATTTTCAACACTGCTGTCAGGTCCATTCTTTTATATGATTCACAGACTTGCGAGCATCACGAAAAGGATTCCTAAATAGGGTACACACTTCTGTCTGTCTGTTTTCGACATAGAACTTTGTACATATTTGCGGCAGTTCAAGTCGTCACACTCCATGTAGCACACAAAGCAAGAGAAGAAAGTCCTGCTGAAGTAATGCCGAAAAGTTTCCATTGTGTATGATTATTATTGTTCAGAATAGTGTTTAATATTATATATATATATATATATATATATATATATATATATATATATATATATATATATATATATATATTACTGTATGCATATATTGGTTGATTTTTATTTAAAATGAACTCTGTGCAAGTATTTTAAAATTGCTTTTGTAGATATATTTAATAATGACTGTGGCCTGTAAGCAACTGACGAGAAAGCAACGAAATAAAAGATGGTTCCACTTTATTCTATTCAAATTCTTTAAAAATGAATTCATCAATAGAGGAAATTCTCTTTGCTGAATTGTCTTTTATTTTTTTTTTCACGAATTCATTGATTCTTGTGTTAAATTCATCTTTATTGAGACCTGATAAGCATTAGTCACCTTTGAATAGTGATAGTTTTGTCTTGTCCACATGTACTCTATCCCTCATTAATGTCTTTAAAGCTGATTTAATTATTTTTTGCGAAAATAAAAAACAAACAGAGGAGAGATGGATAATATCAAGAAATATGCTTACTTGATCACTTGTGCAACAGTGTTAGGACCAAACCAACTGCCAATAGATTTACCAACTGATACGCCTGTAAGTGCTATTATAAAGAAAACAACACAAGGCAGATAAGGACAGATAAAATGGATTGAAATTTGTGTTATATCAAAAAAAACCTACATCTGACTGTTCATGTTGTACGTTGAATGTTTGATTTAACACCTATAGCCGGACAATGCGGAACAATGAGTGCTGGATATTAGGGAAATGTATTGTCTGTCTGTTTTTGACATAGAACTTTGCACATATGTGCGGCAGTTCAAGTCGCCACAAGGGAAATGTATTGACATCCACACCAAACAGATCTGCATAGTTACTTGGTTCACTTAATCGACAGGGTAGTAATCTACTTCAAAACAGTCACTCGTCAATATCAAAGTGCAAAAAAGGGGGGGTGACGATTGTCAGGGAAATTTAGGACAATAATTAAGGAGTGGCGGTATCTGCACTATAAAACAGATCGTTACATAATGCATTGTTAATCTAGAGAAATTTATTGGTGGATGAGTTATTTTGCTAAATGATCACTATGCCTAGTTATTATGCGTTCAGAGTGGATCCATAATAAGCGATCAAAACGATAGACACACGGAGAAAGAGAGGAGAAATTAGACAGAATAGTTTTGTTTCTGTGACTTAATATCAATTAAGTTATGCATAGACAACCTAAATCTGCTGAGTTGGATATCGCTTTTATAACATTTTCTAGATGTAATGCGCCTTTCTTGCTAAGCTTGAAAATGGTCCGTTGAAACAAGTAATAGATAAAACTGATTCTTATTTTCGTTATGTTGATGATACGTTTATTATTCCTGATGTGAAAGCTGACAAGAATGAAATATTAATAAAATTCACTGATGCACATCCATCGCTCATCTTCATTTGTGATGAATAAGATGATAGTAGACTACACTTCATTGATGTCCAATTGAGCAGAAGAGAGGATGGTTTGCTCAAGAGAGATGTCTATAAAAAACCTACATCTGTAGGACAATATACACATTTCCTCAGGTTTGTACCAATCCGATTACATATACAAGGGACAAACAAGATCTATTCGTAGCTCTATTTTAGCACACCTTTTAGATAGTGAACATAAGATTGATGTTAATACAGCATTTAAAATTATCTATCGCATTCCTACTAATTTTAGTTTTGCTCTACGAGTTCGTCTTCTACAGACAGCTGAGGCAATAGGAATCCACCTGAAGAAACCAAACCTGTGTGTTGAGAAGAAATTTGTGCAGCCACTTTCCTTGCCTTGGCCATCGTTATATGAATGTGTCAACCAGAATACTTCGCATCCCTCCCCCTAAACCTATAAATTTATAAAAATTATAATTGTCCAAATTATTTTAGTTTTATTTATTTTGACCACTTCATCTTTAATTACGTGTTATCCTTGTAAAATTAACTTATTCTAAATATTTCTACTTTTTAAATGTGTATTGATTTTCTTCGCTTATTATCAACCCATTGACATTTTGACACTGACTAATTATTGTTAATAAATATATCGCCACTTGATTGGTAAACTGTTGCGTATTGTAGTATATATATATATATATATATAGAACCAGAGATGAGGATCTAATTGGAAAGTAACTATTTCTTTGCTCAACCTTTCTGTTTTTCTAAATGTCTAAATGGGGATTTTTTCTACATTCAAACAATTTCACCTGACAGATTGAAAGGTGTTTATAAGTACACCTGACTTTCAAACTGAAGAATAACACCATTAATAGTTTTAAACAAATTTATTTCAGTTTATGAAGGACCTGTATGAAACAAGAACAGTTTTTTTTTATGGTTACAGCTTGATTCCACATCGTATTTTTTGGTACAAGTGTGGAATTTTCAGCGTGGATATCGGTAGCCCAAAATTCGCAGGCCAACCATAGATATCTTCGTCATTTACACAGTCAGTCACATATTCAAATTTCACTTGAGCTAACTTTACTCGGGTAGGCTGGAAATCAATCGTTAAGACAGAATTTGGGATTACAGTAAAACAAACACACAAAATAATATGACAAATTTATGTTAATTAAAAATCCCCTATAGTGTAATCAGAACAAAATGATTTTAGCAAACAACTGTTTTCGATAAATTCTTCCTCAGGCTCTAAAGTTATAAATCCTTGAATATTATAATACAAATAGCCTGCCACTAAAGGCATGTGAAAATTATATCAGAAGTTGTATTTGGGTACGTGCATAATATGAAGTGATAGTTTACAGTATTTAATATAGTCAAATAACCGTCATTAAAAATGTGAAGTCGTCATTAAAAGCATTAAAAGTTCTTTCAATTGATCTGATCAACCTACGGCTTAATATATCATTGCATATTTCACCTTTGAATTGTACTCTTAAACAAAGGTTTTTCTTCCTCACCGTGTCATGCTTAATTTTATCAGTTCTACTGAAAATATACTTCTTTACAAAATTGACAGGATAGTCCTTTTGTAGCAGGGTATTTTTAAGACTGGGATTTCATCTTCAATACAATCCCCAGAACATATGTACCTTATTTACATGGCTGGCTATTTGTACTATAATATTCATGAATTTACAACTGTAGTGCCTGAGGAAGAATTTATGGAAAGCAACTGCTGGCACAAATTTGTGTTTTTAGACATCAAGCAGGAAGCAGTATCTAACGTGAACAAGTTAACAATAATATTTAAGAATGAAAAATTACATAGCTGAGTTCTCAAAGTGATTGTTTCACAAAATAATATATACACACATATAATGCTTACTTATAGTTTGAATTGAGTAAAGTGCAGATCGACGATCTTGAAACATTTGCAAAATACGATAATATTCAGGATTTTCCTGTTCATTACTCCATTTCCAAGCTGAAGGATTAAAACGAAACAGTATTTTTAAGAAATATTTCATTTAAAAAACTACAGTATATTATGACATTTATTGGTTGATTGGGTCGTAACGTATGACAATCGTTTTTTATAACTGGCTAGGGCAGGTAGAGATATAGCTTGTTAGGTTTAAGCGCTTGGCTTGCATCCATTGGATTTCGTCAACTGCACGTAACACTAGATTGTCCTAAGGTGAAAATCAAACCATTCATAGTTTCGCTTATGTTGATATCTAAATGCATTGGGATTAAAACATCATCAAATAGAGTGTTTGCTCGATGAGGGTTTAACGATTTTTTTAAAACTCGCGAACATTACATTTTAAATAGCATCCTTGTACGGGACGAACAACTACATAGTATTCTCTGTTTTTTTAATAACAAAAACAGTAAATCGACAGGTACATTTTTGCTTTGAGAACACTCAATGAATATTTTTATCTGTCTGTCTGTCTGTTTTCAACATAGAACTTTGCACAAATGTGCGGAAGTTCAAGTCGCCACATTCCGTGTAGCACGCGAAGCAAGAGAAGAAAGTACGAGAAAAGCATAATAGAAACAGTGAGCAGAGGTGTGAGACAAAGGAGTAATAAAGAAATACAAAACAGTTTCATTGAAGATCATAAGTCACAGGGAGTGGATGCATCTGCGCCACTGAGAACGATTTTGAGCCATGTCACCAATTGTTTCCAACCATAGATTTTTACCGTCCCGAGGACACCAGCCTGGAAGTCTACACCTTCCTACGTGGCTTAGACCAACTGTTGTGGATTTCATTGACTGGTGCCAAGTTTTTGTTTGACCGCCGCTAGCTTTTTTCCAGTCTGACCCTATATCCGCTAACATAGCTCGTCGAGGGAGGCGATGGCTTGGCATACGTAACACATGTCCTAACCATCTCAGTCTTTGTAACTTCACGACTTCGCCGATTGATTTCCCCTGTTTACCTAGAACTCTACGCCTAACCTCAATGTTGCTCACCTTATTATGCCACTTTACACGGGAAATAGAGCGCAGGCACCTATGATCAAAGACAGCTAGCTAGTCTTTTCATGTCTTCCACTCTCAGTGGCCAGGTCTCACTAGCAGCCATAAAGGAGGACGGAGCGGACTGATGAGCAGTACACCCGCCCTTTGGTCGATAGTCGAACATCTCGTCTACGCCAGAGTCGGCGTAAACTAACAAATGCGAAACGAGCCCCTTGTATTCGTGCTGAGATTTCGTCAGAGATCAGCCCGTTGGGGCTGATGGTACTTCCCAAATAAGTGAAGCGGTCAACGTGCTCTACCATTTCACTTCCTATTTTTAAACTAGGCGTCGATGTAGTCCAGTCCTGTAACATCATCTTGCATTTGGCGGGAGCGAATCGCATGCCAAACATTCGTAGATTGCGGCTCAAGGTGTTTAGAAGACTCTGCATTTCGTCAGCGTCTTCGCCTAGAAGGACTATATCGTCTGCATATTCCAAGTCAACGAGATTATTCCCCGGTAGCAAGTCAATCCCTGAGTCGCTGAAGTCACCTAGGGTTAAGTCCATTAACACATCTATGATGAAGTTGAATAGAAAAGGAGATAATGGGCATCCTTGACGGACACCACTGGTCGTCATCAGTTCAGATGACAGCTCGCCGTAAGCCCTCACCTGGCTGTATGAGTACGAGTAGAGTGCCTTAATCAGTGCAATATATTTTCTCGGAATTCCCTTTACAGCCAAGCATCTCCAGAGAACTTCTCGATCGACAGAGTCGAATGCTGCCTTTAGGTCAAGAAATATAATGACTGTTGGACGCCGGTAGGAATTCCTATGTTCTAGAATCTGTCGGAGGGTGAAGATATGATCAATACACCCTCTTCCTGGTCTAAAGCCTGCCTGGCTCTCTCGTGTTTGTGCTTCCCGAGCACCACTCAGTCTACGCATGATTATTGAGCCTAAGACTTTAGATACTATATTAGTCAAGCTAATCCCTCTGTGATTATCACAGGAAGACTTGTCTCCCTTCTTGTATATGGGGATAATCAGTGACTTACACTTCAATGTATCGGTGAGTATAACTCAATAAGTAGTACAGCGCAATTTTAAATTATGAAGTCAATGATTTTAACTTTACATTTCTAAAAACCATTTGGTAATAATTATCTTTAATAGTGATGACGAGTTGAGAGATTTCTTGTCGTAAAAATAACCATTCCAGCTGTCTGATCAATTAGAGTGGAATACAGTGAATATTGCATTTAAGATGACATAATATAACTAATTACATAAACATCTTAAATTTCCACAAACGTAGGTGTGATTGTTAGCATAGGACTTCAGTTTCGAACACTACAGGAAGATTAAGCATGGGACAAATTTGAGTGGGCAATCATTAAATGACAACATACATTTTCCAAGGTGAAATCTCAACATTGCTTCCGCAAGAACCATTTGCCCACACCGATGCATACAACCCCAACCTGCATCTGATTTAGGCCCATTTCGACTGCCAATTGGAGAAAAACCTTTTCGGTATGTCATCCATAATCTAGATTTTAAATGATGGGCAATTTCTTCCCTGTCTGAATAAATAAAAAAAAGTGCAAAAAACTACATTAACAAAAGGGGTTTTACCATTAAAGCCAGTGGTGTAATATCAATCTATTTTTTATTATCTGTAATACATATCTATAAGGGATGCTTTCAGTACACTGCACTCTTCTAACGCCAAAAAGGCAGCAATTAAACTGAGGAATAACTTTAGTAGGACAATGCGAAGACATTTACAGCATAATCGTTTAAGAAAAATTCAGATGTTCTGTGATAAATAAAAATAGCACAGATTAATATCACTTAAATGTATAAAAAGAGAGTGAAACATGCACAAGCAGTATCTAAAATCATAAGTAACAATTTACCTTTGAAAGTCAGACATCCTCGTGGTATTATTTTCGTTAAAAAAAATCAGTTGAAGTTTGAATAAAAACATTTTATTTCTTTTGGTTCAATATAATCAAGGATGGGGAGAGGTTTTTTTCTTCTTGTAGGCATCGCATTTGAGTCATAACACGAATGCATCAGGCAGAATAACTTAAGGAAGGTCGTCGTCATTTTTCCCTGAATGTTTGCACGCGGTGTTCAGGTCTGTGGTCCACCTGAGATATCATACACAATTCTGTTGATAACTGGTCCTTTTATCCATTTATAAAGTTCTTCACTATAATTTGTAAGCCAAGCAGTTGTTGTTTACGAAATCATAACATTATGGGATATTCGTAACTTCCTCGTCAGTAGTACTTTGGGAAAACTGGAGGTTTGAAAGTGCATCAGCTCGTCTTATGCTACAGATACGCGATAAATTCCGGACAATATCCACTGACTTCTGTTACCTCCGCTCTTGAATTAAAAGCCTACTCTACTAACTGTTCTACCATGAGGTTTGATGTCGACAGATGCGGAGGAAAAAGCACGTACCACATTATTAATTGAAGACAGAAATCTCCGTACCACTTGGAAGCGGATTAAAAGAGGAGAATGATAGTTTTTGATGAACTGTGACAATGGAAGATGGTAGGGGAGTTCACATTATGTTTGACTGATTGTAAGGGATAAAATCATGGAACCTTGAGCATGCATCAAATAAAATAAGTCTCAAGGCGGCACAAAGGAGGATTTCAAAATCAAACAGGATCGAATCAAGAGAGCGAAACATGAGTTCAATACTCTGAAATCAGTTTGGAGATCTACAGCGCTTAACACAAGAAAAATCCGAATTTTGAACACTGATGTCAAGTCAGTCCTACCATATGCTTTTGAGACTTGGTGCGTCGCCGGAAGCGTTTTCAACGGGCCATTGCAAATTTTCGTCAACAGCTTCTTCATCTGGCTCAGTACTGAAGATCAGATGGCTAGATAGGACAAACAACTAGGAACTCTTTGATATAAGAATAAAACTTGTGCACTGTGGTAGAGTGTAATTCCATTATTCCATCAAGGTACCTTCATATGATCATGAGCAATAAATTGTGCTCCAAACGTCATCAGTAAACATTACTGTATAACACTGTGAGACTTTATCGAAACAAATTATACTCATAATGGAACTAGGAACTCTGTCAGGAAGTGAACTAACCGAAAACCTGTCACCCAACAAATTTTCAGAAGGAAATGGAGGTGAACTGGTTATACATTTAGGATACTGTTCAGTAGCATCACACATCAGGTCCTTGAAAGGAACCTGAGTGGGAAGCAACAAATTGAGAACCATAGATTTATATGGGAAAGATAAAGTGAAGAGGAAATGGAAGCTTGTGGCTGGTGAATAAATTGGAAATGTGATGGTGAAACTCAGAATGCAAGGAATAATAGTGAGAATAATGATGATAGTTTTAAGTGATATGGATGTTTATGGCAGGTATTTGATACAATTAGTACACTACATCAGACACCCAGGGGTCCCGAATACGAATTATTATTCCATTTAGACGTAATGAACACGAATTAGTCGTATGAGACATATAGAGACTTCGACTAGAGGTACGATTTCGCTCTCACACCCCATCCATAATGGAAGCAACTTACACTATGATGCTAATTGCTTTTGATCTTACCGCCAACTAACAAACGGATCTGACACAGTAACAGTTGCATGAGTATTCGTTCTAAACATAACAGCTTGTTGGGACACTGCGATGCGCACGCCCGAACTCTAAATCAATGTAGGAGTTATCAGTCAAGAATTAAGAGACTAAGGAGAAGGTAAATAATTAAGTAAAGATTGGGGAGAATATGCTAGATATTCATGATAGAGAGTGAGGATATCTGCGCAACGGTCAAAGGTCTTTGGATAATATAACTAGAGGTCTTCACCAATTAAAAGGAGACTTTGAAGACTTTAGCAATGTAACGTGCACACTAAAGATGGATGAGATGGAAGATAATCTGAACTTCTGCTTTGTTTACTGGAATACAAACAATAAGTCAGTTATTCATAATTTACCGTTGGTAGACTTTCTACCAGACGTGTATCAAATCGTATCCATCGACATCAAATTACGTCAGAGTAGCAGTGACTATTTTGTTTTATAATAGGTTTCTAGCATCTGTTATTATGAAATTAATTCAACAAAACTTATACTTAGTTTTTAACGCCACCATATAATAATAATCACTTTATATCTAACGGAGATTAACCGTATCTACTACTTAAGTCTGCCAACAACCTGAATTATATACCTATAGGTGAGTGTCAGTCCCTGCTGTGATTTGCTGGAGTGACATTCTAGCACAACTGAATGCTCAAGACCTTGATGTTGCGGTGAGGAGTCATGAAGCCACTTCGGAGGGCAGTACATTTGACTCTAAATGTTTTGTAGAAGTTTCAGCACTGTTAGGATAATTGTTTGTCAGGTCTATGCAAATTATACACTGAAAGATCTAAAACATTATCCTTGATGTGTAAACTCTGCGTCAATATTCACGACGCAAAACGAGTAAATGATTGAAATACTTTGTGCGCTAGTGAAGTAAATATTCAATACTAGGAAGGTGACTGGACAGTTAATATACCTTAATTATTTTGTGGTACTCTTCAGCTGTCAACTCATGAAAAGGATATGTTGAAGTATCATCAGAAGTATAGGTGTACTGTTTTGAGAGGAGTCTGAAGAAATATACATACTCACTCTGCTGCCTGTTATTCAACCTGAAAGTTCTGAAGAGATACATCAAAATTCTTTTTTACTAGAAATATGTGATGTTGACCGACAAGTTTAACTGTTTTCTTTAAAGCACTATATATTTAAGAAATTCCGAAGGAGTCATTAAGATAAAACTGACAGAAGCACTCCCCAACTATCTAATAACAAATTAGAAAAAACAATGTGACTTAGCAGTTGAATAAAAGTGCCAGACAAAGCCAAAGTGAAAAGGACCATTCCTTACATATATTTTTCAAATGTTATGGACGATTGATTGGGAAACATTAAAAGAAAAAAGCGATAAATAATTACTAATTAGTAATTGTTATATAATTATAATAGTCTAAAATACACCGTCCGATCGCTTAATGCTGAATTAGAGTGTAAATAGCGCACCATAAAGTGAAGGTTAAGCGTTATATTATTAAAGAAACAGTAAGCAAGGTGTAAAAAATCTACAATGATTATATCAGGAAACTTAGCCAAGTTTTGATACCACTTTACCGTTAGTCAAGAAGGGAATAAATAAGCTTTACGATAGCGGTTGGCTGAATATCATAATTCTCCTAAATATCCCTATTCATTACGATTATTCATTTTTCAATCAAGTTCCCTCGAGTGATCTGCTTGTGATAGCATTAAAGACTGGTATGTGATCAAACTATACTGAAAGCCTGAAAGCGCGTATGGAAATCAGTCATTAATTCAAAAGGAATTGTGAAGAATTAGAAACAAAACGCAAGACTCGTGTTCGCTTACCATCTTTGGAGTCATATTTACATCCTAGTATGTAAACAGGCTTCGAAACATTTGGGAGATACGGATGGTCAGGCGATGAGCCCGAGTAATTGAACAGCGCTACAAAATTCTCGTCCATAAGGTACTTTAACATACCCTCCCACTGAGAATCCATCATATGTCAGCCCCTCAGTTCAGCATCTTTACATTCTAAGTAGTGTAACGGCCAATTCTAAAACGCCGCCTGAAGATCAACACCTTCAGCTTATTCAGGAGTGGAGAGATAGCTAACAATAATCACATAATATGATCCCTTACTGTAGGTCTTATCGTTTCAGCACTTTTAGATAAAATTCCCCTTAGGTATTAAAACACTGAGGAGATAAGCCAAAGAAATCCTGGGAACCTTCAGTACCGTTTTTTAACACCCCCCCAAATTTATTTCCTCATGGCAGCTCCTTGATGTCATTCCTGTTACTCCCCAACATTGGACTTACTTAATGTTCACAGGAGGTGTGAGGTCGGTTAAATTTAAGGGTAGTTTGTCGTATACCTGTCGCTGTGAAAACAATAAGGTCCTTAACTATTTGGCAACTGGAAACGACCGGCGAGAACAAGATAAAGCAGTGATAATGTTAACAGAAGTAATAATAACCATACTAATTTTATTGTCACAATACGATTGTTTTAACTCCATTATGAATAAGATTTTATTTTGATAATCACACAGTGTTGTACAGTAATATTACTGTAATATTATCCATAATGGAGTTATACTCTACCACAGTACCCAAGTTTTATACGATTGTTTCAGTCCGAAAACATAGGCTAGTAAATAAATAGATGTGTGACTGAACTACGACACAGGGGGTATGAAAATCTACTGAGGTACCACAAGTAGGTCAAGCATTTAATGTCTGGATTTATGTTAAGTGAAAATGTTGGCTGTGCAGCAGATGACGACTTTATCTCCATTTCGTCGGGCTGAGAGTCAGTTATATGTATTCCTGGTGTTTCTACGTGATAATCTGGGAGTCATTCAAAGCCTTTACTAATGCCTCGTTGGCCGTAGCCGACGGAGATGCATAAACATTGTCGCAGACTCAAGTCGAAAATTGTGAGGGAGGACTGTCATTTTGGTCTTTTGTTAAGTGATTATGGGTGGATAACAGTGGTTAATAGTCAGACAACTCACTTTAGTGAGTCGTGTTATAATTCTTATAGCTATGATTGTGGAACCCATGTAGTCGGTGGAGAGACCTGGTCACCACGGCATTTTCTGTTTCCTATTTAGAAGACCTATTGGTCATTCTGTTGATCACTGTGAATCCTTTTCAAGGTGTTAGTGCCAATTTTAGGTAGTGCAGGAAGGGCTATTTTGGGAGTTTTCAAGTGTAAATTCGGTACGCCAGTCTACTTGTTTATCTTGACAAGAAACAAAGTTAGCAGTTCTAGTGTGACCACCTATTACAGTGGACCTATATCTTGACCACACTACAGGCTGACTATGCAGTTTGTCTCACTCACAACTAGCGCAAGGCTGCGCCTAAAGTCATTTCCAGCTATTGAATATAAGACATTAAGTTTACCGCCACCCAAACGTATACTTGGGCACATGAAATAATGAGCTATTATTGCGGTGTACGCAACTAACACTTTCTTCTACTTCCAGACAGAAGCCTCATTGGATGTCTTTGGATCGATGGTGGTAGATTTTCCGACAGATTTTTCACCAGCCTTTATTCTTACGTCGGGTGTATGGAGAAGAGTTAAGGAGTGGGCAACTAATGGATGTTCAAAACATCAGAAGTCATGTGGTGACCCCGTGAAAAACTGCAAATGCTGATCTGCTACTCAATTTATCCTTTTAAGGCAACTCTGTTGCGTGCTTTGTTTGACTAAATCAGCGTACACGTATTTCCTAGTAATTCTTCACGTTTATTAATGTGCATAGACTTTGTGGATACTCGACGCCCACAACGTAAAACCAAAAGGCACTTGCAAAGAGTACGATCGTGTATTAAAGCAATAGTCAACATTTTAAAATTGTAATTAAAATGCTATATATATTAGAGTAGAGCCTATGATGAGGATCTAATTGAAAAGTAAATATTTCTTCGCTCAATCTTTCTGTTTTCTAAATGTCTAAATGGGGATTTTTTCTCTATTTTAAAATTGTGTCAAGGTTATGTTCAACGGTAAATTGACAAGTGTTTGCAAAGTACATATAAAATCGGTCTGTGTAAACATATAATACAAGTATACAAATTAGATTAAAAAGCATGTTTACAGTTGGTATAGTGGTGCTACAACTCATAAGCCACGACAGATACAGAATACTGATGTCTCTTTTGCATGTCTTGTGGAGGTTGGTGTCGTGTTGACCGCTGTCGAAAACCTTCGCTCTCCATTAATCTTTCCTGGGCTTCTTAAAAAAGATTATATCATATTACGAAGAGTATTAAATGCTGTGAGTAGAGCTTGTGGTCTGCCACTGCATGAGCTCGCTAATACTATAGTCGAGAGGCATATAAATTCCTGTACGAAATGGGCAAAGGCTATACTGTCAGACACTCTGCACCCACTTGATTCACACCTATCCTCTTGAATCTCATCAGGTAAGAAGAGAAGTCAATGTAAAAAGTTATATGCTCGTACCACTAGGTATAGAAATTCTACAATACCCTATTTAGCCCGTACTTTATGTGACGAAGACTCAGTTAGACGTGAAACTTATAAGTTACCATGTAATAAGCACAGTGAATCGACCCTTCCATCGTTCATCTTTTTGTATTTTATGGTGTCACACTTTCTATCGTTTAATTATTACTCTGCTATTGTCAATCACGTCTCATAAACCGTTAATGCCCAGCTCTCGCTACGCTCGGGCCCACGCTGTTCCTTGAAGATTTCAGAAACGCTTAGTAATAACGGACGAAAAAACCAAAACACCGATCTGCTGCTTGAGATTTCTTTATTGTTACACCAACATATAAAAAGAATAAGTGAACTAAGGTCTGAAAACAAATATTACAATAATAAATCATTGTATTACTTCTGACGATGTTTCACTCTTCTTTCTGAACAGCGACCGATGAGACGATGACTGTCGTATTGATGCCTCCGCGAAAATTGGGGAAGTTGATTTTAAGCAAACAACCAAGAATTGATCGTTCAATCTTCAACTCCATTGACACTCCCCGGCAAAAAAGGGATCCAACCCTTTTTTCCTTCACGACCAATGCACGTTGACTTGGATGCCATTGCGAAAACCTGGGTCACACGGACAGAGCTGAAATGGAAAACAAACGGAAAAGCCAACACACCACAAGCATACCCACAGCACAATCTCACACATCAATGACGACCTGCGCCTCCAGACAGAGACCTCCTCTTGACATCTTGCAACACAATCGCCACTTGCTAGAATGACTCTTGCAGAATGCAACGTGACCATAGCACCAACTCATGATACTCTACGCACATCGTCTTATCTACTCACTACCAATTACCACTGCAATCGCTTGTCACTCATTCTGCCTCAGTTCTAGTAGCGGTGACGCATGCGAGCCTCAGTCGTTTACACTCTTTCTCCCCGGCGTGTCGGACCGCAGCTAACAATTATCTCCGTGTGCATTTCATTCTCAGCAATAGCCTAGCCTCCCCGGCGTATACGCCCCATCTCCTGTCCTTAACATCAATCAATTTATTCTTGGATGTAGAAGAGTGGGCACAACTTCAGAAGTAATCACGACGAAAATTTTAACAAAATTATGCAATAAAAACAAGGTACGAAAACAACGAGTAAACACAATGAATCCAAAAAACACCGATTGATATGACACACCACACATATATACAAACAGTACAAACAAACTCGCGGATCATGTCTTGATGGAATTCCTTGGAAGGATTGCAGGACTTACACCTGTAGGCCTACAACCCTTCTCAGGTTGACGATTGTAAGTTGTGGAATGTCCGGACACAAACAAGATTAACCAACAATTGCGATAATTGGAACTCACACAACTATTTAACACAAACATATGTACAATCACTACATCAAATGTTGTGGATTCCGGCATGACAAACTACCCTTGAAGAACTGTAGGACTTACAGCAGTACGCCTACATTCCTTCTCAGGTTGATGATCCAAGTGGAAGTCGTCCGGACACAAACAGAATTACCAACAGCTAGATGACAGATGATATCAATTCAGTATATAAAATATGAACATATGTACAAGATCATACACCAAGCACATTGGGCTGCTCATTGATGCGCTACCCTTTGAAGAACTGTAGGACTTACAGCAGTACGCCTACAACCCTTCTCAGGTTGACGCTCTAGGTTGGAAAATCGTCGCAGAGTTCATTTGCTGACTTCCTTCTATGAGCTTAATCCTCAAATCTGAACGGCAACACACCCATGTCATTGTATCGTAGAATATAGATGACGAACAAACACACGGCATATCTCATCAACCAAGTGTAGAAACAGAGTAATTTACACCAAAGATAATAGCATTCAATTAGTAACTTGAAACTAGAAATGCCTTTATTCATGCAAGTCAATTTAACAATTACTCTCTCGTTTGCACTTGGCTTATTCTCACTAAACTGAGCAATATCTTTCGTCTTTTCAAACGCACCAATACTATCATAGTCATTGCAGAAGATACTTGAGTTGATGGGCATCTGTTTCATTGTGGATGAAAACACCAACGATGACTGAGTGACACAAGGTGATGAACTTAGCGGTGGATCAGAAGCTGTTCTTTTTCGGCTTTCAGATAGTTGTCCAACTGCAAGATTACCACCACTGCTGTCTTTCACTACTAGTTCGGGTTTAGTACTATCATCTGATGATAGGTGGGCCACACGCTGATCAATTACACTGACTGTCTCACAAGTATGCACACCTTCTGGAACTGCATCTGCGTTCAATTCTACTTCACGTTGTAGTTGTACAGAACCTTTGTTCAACTTAGCAGTAGTAGGCATATCTATCATCTCATCATGATTAACCAAAGACAACTGTGAAGTATCATGATCATTATCACGAATATTCACTTTACCATCAAGTCCATCATTTTCAAACTCTTTAATAACAGAAGTAGACAATTTTGGTTCCTCCTCACAAATCATTAAAGGTTTTATATCTTCACTCTGACTAGTTATACTTTGTAAACTTGTGGAGTCAGAACTCCACTCTGAAGCAGTAACTCTATTCTGTGACACTCTATTCAACAACGGCTTACCAG